TCTGGACTATGTCACCGTATCGCTAACGCGAAGGTGGAGTTTCCACTTGCAAATTGTACGTCACGCAATTCGTCGACGACAGAAACTCACCGGCAACGAAAATCTGGTAAATTTAGTTGCGATTGTGGAAAACGAAAGTTGCAGGACAAAGGAACTTCGTGCTTGCTGGCAGTAATTAACTACTATATCGCAAAGCACAGAGACTATTTAACGCATTCGCTGTTAACAGATCGGTAAATTCCAAGTTACATTTTTCGACCGCGTGTTTATTGTTTTTTTTACTATTCAGTGTATTGTAGCTGAAATGCTTTGTTAAACTGTGTCTCTTGACACAAATATCGCTTTATTTTTTAATTTGATATAAAGTATCTCGTTTTGTTTGTTATAAAATGTATCCGGTTATCGATCGCCATATTACAGTTTACTAAATATACAGTTATTGAATATTGCGGTTTGTATATTTCCGTATTTATTTTTCTCTGTTTTTTCGCTTTAGGATGGATTTGAAAATCGATACTGCTCTCTCAATCCTTCTTTCTTTCTACTCTTCTCAAGTGCACCGCGAATACGGAAGTATCCCGCACGTGTTTGTACATGGTAATGCATTCCCGTTCTAAACGCAAACAATCCTTATCTCGGCGCTGCCATTCGTGAATTAAGTATCCCACAGTAGAATAAAGTGCACTCAGATACAAAATTAATTGCTAAAGTTTCTGCCGCATTTACGAGCGCGCCTTTTTATACTTTTTATGTACCGAGTCTCACCGTTACTCTGCAATTTGTGTTCGCGACAAATTACTTGATTGAATTTAAATTATAATAAATAAAATTGATCGAGAGAAATGATCAACAAAAATAAGCAAAGATATTGGCCATATTCAGTCAAAGTGAATTTGATGCGCTTAATAATATTTTTAATTAAATCTTACCTTAATACAAATTATATTAAAATATTAAAAAAATTAAAGATATTAAAATAATACACTACATTTTTATATCAAACTCATTTATATTAAGCTAAAATTAGTTTGGCAGTCAAAATATTAAACTGAAAGAGTTTCGAGATTCGCTTCGATATGAAATTAATTCAATATTATAATTATTATCTGTATAATTTATCTAGGGATTCACATACATACACGAAGAAAATATTACAATAAAATTGCAATATTAATATAGTAATTTATTTTTAAAAAATTGAAAAATTACATAATAAACATTATTATTATATGAATCTTATAAATTTTTATTCGTAGCAGATTTAAAAATATAACTTTTTATAGTAATTTTTATACTTATAGTTATATATTGTAATGTTATGTCTTTGTCTTTTAATTAAATATTAAAAAACGAATTTTTTATTTTATGTCCTAATATTTTCTTCGTGTAGGTTTAAATAAATTTTCTCTATTTAAAAACTATACTCTACTTATGTATATTTAGTATTGAAACAGTTCATGTTTATGGTTAAGAAGTTATAAATGAATCAACAAAAAGTTCGTCTTAAATTGGTCGACAAACTCGCTATCAACAGAAACAATGGTAATCGCTGGAGGGATATCCTCTACGGAAAACAAGCAACCATCGAGTTGGCCGCAAGTTAGCGTGGTGCACTTGTTACTATACCGTCGCTTTTTGTATCCCAGCGGTAAAACTTGCAAGCGCCCACGATAATTTCATGCAAACGGCCGCGAACGACTCGCGCAACGAGCTGGCCTGCAACGAAACGCCAGAATACCCACGAGTTATCGTTACCGTGCATCGTGGCAGCGATCGCGGTTGGCGATGGTTTATGAAGGTTGCATTGCGCGAGTGGACGATTCGCTCAACCGTATATAATAAAAATATCTTCCGTTGCTCGGGTCTCTCTTTTTAGTGAAACTTTGCCGCGATGCTGTCGCGCTTTTAGAGCAACGAAGCGACGCAACGTCCTCATTAATGAGTAACTCTTGTAATTACGCTCGTTATATTCTATTTACCCCTAGCTAAAACACGGATAGAAAGATAGTGGGTGTTTGCTAAAAAATCCAATTCTCCATTTAGTTAAAACTCTTTTTTTAGATAAAGAAAAAACCTTTCTTGATAATTTGGACTAAACAGTGTGTTTAGTAATCTTTTACGTTTTTAAAGGTTTTGTATCACGGAATAACTCTTTCGGGCATTTCTTCTTTCTTATCTTTAAATGCATGAATGTATAGAATGAAAATTTGGTTGTTTTTAGAAGGATAAAATGGCTAGCTTTTGACTAATTGTGCGAAAGAACTTTTATTGTGTCGAAATGCATAAAAAACGATCTGTTTATTTTGAAATCTAAGTTTTCTGAAATACTCGAGACTTCTGTAAATAACGTTAATAATCTATTATGAATAAAGGTCTTTTACATACTTTCGTCTGTGATTGTGATATAATTGATGAGAACAAAGCGCTTTTTTGTTTCGAAATAGTTTTACAAATCAGTCATTATGAGATATGTAAAAACGAGATAGTGTTTTAACAAAATAAAATTTGCGGTATGCTCTTGGACGGTCATACTTTTCTGTTTATTCTCATTATTTAACTTTTGCGAGCAGTTTGCGTGTAGTTTGTGGCGTAGCTTCTGTGTAAAACACTGCGGTGCTTTGTGCTTTTCCCTTTGTAATCCGTCAATTTCAGAAGTGTGTTCTCTACTTCTCTATTGCTTTTAAAATCCACTGAGAATTTTGTTCGTCATAGCTGTACATTACTTTCAATTACCTTAAGTTGGCTGCTACTTACCGTTTCCGCAAAAATTAAGCAACTTTTTCGTTTTGCATATATCGTACTAAAATGTACGAATACCTATGCATGAACATTCATTGTAAAGTAATTTAGTTCTTTTATGCTTGTTAAAAGTTATTATTGGAACACAAAAAAAGAAAAATTTTGCAAAATTTAAACTTACAAATTTATAATGGTATTGACAATATTTTGACTAAAACGACAATATCGTTACATAAATCAACATTACATTTCTGTTGCAAGGCAAACTGAATATTGATTAAAAAACACATTAAAAATAAAAATAAGTTTGTGGTTTCAAGAATAAATTAAGTATAAATTGCCTATATGAATCTTCGCGGTTGTTAGTTCGTAAATAACATATTTGTAAGCGATTTTAGCATGATACAATATAATGTGCAATTAATTTCGTTAGTAAGTACATTTCAGTTGTTTGCAAATCACATCTTATCGGCTTATAAATATCTTAGATATTATTTATCCACTAATTACGGAAGATTATATAGGCAACTCATATCACATTTAAAACAATTGTATCTCTGTTCTGCTTCTAAATTGATATATTATGGTTAAGTTTAAATGTTGGCATTATTCTATTTTATATCTAGAACTACTGTCAATACTATCTATTGTGGAAATTGCCTCCTAAACGACATCTATAACGAGATTATAAGCGTCAACAACGAAATTTTAAGGTGTGGCGACTCGTCACTAGAGGTTCACGGGACTCACTCGGTTCGTGTGAGCACCGCAGCCACGCGAATTCCCTTTAAATAGAACATCATTCTGGATTCATTCCAGAGGTCTAAAGCAGGTTCCACACTACATCGCCTTACTGATGAGTCTAGTAGTGTGGGACCAGGACGAAACGCTGCGGCCGACCACAAAGCTTCGAGTTAGGCCTCCTTAGTGTGGACATCCACAAAGGTATAAAATTTAAGCTTTAAACCCTCCTTTTTAAATCGGTACAAAATTGTCACAAATCACAGTCAAATTTGAGGAGAATAATCAACACCCAGAGAAAAGGTTTCTTCGATTTAAAGAAATGTTTCTTTGTTATACGAAGAAAAAATTTCTTTGATTTGTGAACGTCATTTTTTTTATTAAAAATTTTTTTTTAATAAAATAAAATTTATTTGATTTAAAGAAATTTTATGTTCAAATCCTAAAAATGACGTTCAAATTATGATTTGAAAATCATTGACCGTATAGCAAAGAAACATTTCTTTAAATCGAAGAAACTTTTCTCTGGTAATTATGATCAATTTCTTATAGTTTAAAATTTTACATCTTAGCCCGCAAATACATGTATAAGTATTTTATAATTCGGACGAAATTTTCGTTAGTGGAGATAATGTGGTTTACACACACACATACTTTTTCGTTGTATCTCATATTTATTTGCGAACATCTGTGTAATCAGAGTCGCAGAGTCAGATGGTGCAATCGCTCCAAGACGATGCACCCCGAGATGACTGCAGCTTGTATTCAACCTACTTTTCGCGAAATTACGGAAGAAAATGCCGAGTAAGATGAAAAACGTGTGGTTAAAGTGATTCGCGAGTACTTTGCGCAAATAATTCTCAACAAAACATCTCAGAAAGAAATAAAGCCGCGTTTATTGGATCCTTATATATAATTCTGATTGTGATTGATATGAATAATTCTGACAGTAATTTTATTAAAACACAAACTAAAATCGTAAAATTCCAGGAACAGAATTTGTGATATTGAAGTCAAACTGTTTAATTTATTGAATGCTGTATTGTATTAATATGCCACACATTTTTTATAATTGGGAAATATCTTTTCAAAATATATTGTTGTTAATTGAATAAAATTTGTTATTTATAGCACACGATATAATTGATATAAAGTGAACATATTACCTTTGTCGAAAAATTTTTATTAATCATTTAATATTAAAAATCTTTATGATAAATTAATCTTGAATGGCATCAATGAATAACAAAATCATTTTTTATATATTCCAACGAATTTAAATTAAGAGTTTTAAATAATTTAAAATATTAAAACTAACGCATTGATGCTTGAAATTGACGAAGATTGTAAGAACTGAAGATCTTTTATAAAATTTTGATGAAAAGTAGATTGTGCAAATTCATTACAGTATCGATAACTGGTAAAACGGACAATGATAAAGTTTTGAAACTGTTCTATATATTAGCGAAGAGTTTGGAATGATAGAAAATCCCCATTAGAAGAAAGAAAAAAATGCTCGTTACGTATGACTTTTTACGTTAGATCGCTTCGGATTAATCGCGGTTATCCGGTAATTTCCGATTCCTTTCGATTTATTCGTGAAAAAAACGGCAGAGAAAAAACAGAAACTCTACCACCGAGTTGGTTTTCTTGCAATTTTCTTCGGCGAGCTACCTCGAGATCATCTCGGTGAATGCAAAACCACCATCCTGGATTTTCTCTTTACTTGTGAACGAGCAGAATTTGGGGCGAGAACCATCGCTTCCGTGTCCTGTTCACTTCCGGCGTTTTTCTTCTCTCCTGATCTCCCTGAATTGCGCGACGATTGCTTTCTTCCTCGGGTTTCCGAGTTTCCTTTGTATTGTTTCCGAACTCGCTCATGCTTGAATTTGTTACGCTTGCGAAAGATTGGAATTTTATAGCATCGGTTAGCATGGGTGATAACGGTCTGTATGAATTAAATCTAATATCGCTAGCATTTGAAAAACATTAATAAAAAATATTTCAAAATTATCGCAAAAATATTATATAAAAACATTTATAATCTTTGTTTTGTCTTAGCTTCTGGAGCTTTAATATCTATATGTTTGTATTGAAATGGCAATTTGTGTTACTCGTATTAATATATTATTTATGTCGAAATAATTCGTTTTTTATGAGATTATATTCAGAAAATAGCATATTAGATCAAGATTATATGTATTTACATAACTCTTTCAAAGTAGTTTATTATTTGCTGATATGTCAATTAATTAAACCGTAAAATTTGCCAATAAAAGAATAAATATATCTGTATAAAATCACGTTGCAACTTTTTTTTATAGTCATAAACCTATACTTTTTTTGTTTCGTCTGAATTGTATAACAAGTACTTTATATGTAAATTTAAATCATACCTACATATGTTAAAATATTGAAAACAAAGACTTGGTAGTTTTGGTTTTAGAAAATAAATCTGTTTTTTCTCGTATGTCTGCTAAATCCATTTCCATATAACGGAAGTGTATTTCGTTAAGGTTCACTGTACCAAGAACGAAACGCTGATATCTATCTGAAAAATACGTTAGCTGGTCCCAGTAGCTTGAATATTTCAGCCCAGTTATCAATTGCAATTTTTTGGAATCTTGCGCAAGTACCACCTTAAAATTAATATTTCGTTTTACAGCATTAAAACAATACTAACAATTATTAGATATAACGATCGTTAATATTCAAAATAATTTATTATCGATTGATATGTAAATAACAATTATATTTGGATATCTTACCGTATTTTCATCAGACTTTTTATAAATGTTTGTACCTAGTATAGACATATTCTGAACATTGCTGTAAAATATTACATGTTCCGCTGCTGCTATTGGTAATATTGGGTTTGCAATTCTTTTCACAAGTTTACTATTTTTGTTAGCTTCTTTTTTATTTGGACATTTTAGTAGCGTCTTAATTTTTATTTTATAGATTTTATTTCCCGATATAGAAGCATAATAAAGATCTAAAATATTTATAATGCAATGTGAAAAGATCATAGGAATCAGTGAAATTGATTATTTGCAAGACAGTTTTCTAAGTTTCATTATTAGTTGCGTGCATAAATGTATTAGATTGCTCAAATGAAAAAGAGACGGGTATTGTGGCAGCCATCCTTGGCGATATCAAAACTGTCTGTTATGCATATTTGATGTTTGCTGCATACGCAATGTTATGTGTATATGACGTGCACGTGACGTCACGTGTTCTTGAATAGGAAATATTGACAAGGAGCACAATCAGTTGCCTTAGCATCCAGTTTACTTGTTAAGCGGAAAAATAGCGTTTTTACTGGAAAATCTAATGAAGAGCAACGTGTGGTGAATGTATGAACCAATATTGAATTTTTAGTGCCGTTTAAGCGAAGTTTATATAAGAAAAGTTTCTTTATATTGAAAAAAAAATGATACATGCACCTTAAAAAGAAAATCTAAACCTTTCTATTTATTTTCAATCGAACGTTATTCCGCTCTTTTTTTATGAGAAGGCAAAGTTAAAAAATGCTTTTTGCTTCAATGTCGAATAGCTCGGTGAAGCAAATTGCATATAATAATCAATAAATATGCAAATCAAAGATAAAACTTCACTTTTTTGAAAGGTATAAACTATGTTAGTGCGTCATTATTAATTTATTATGGAACTTTGCAAAGTTTGTACAAATAATAAAATATTTAGATTTAACAAATCTATTTGTATCCGTATATGTTCGTAAAAATTCAGTCAGATCTTTATCTAGAGCATTGATCTGAAAAGTAGAGACTTCAAGTTTTTGAATCATTTCATTATAATCATTTTTTGCGCTCTCTTGAAAATTTCCCATTTTTGAAGGGTAAAATAGATGATCCCATCCCTTTAATTTTTTTACGTAGTGTATTGAACAAAAAAATTATGAATGGTATAAAAAAATTCATAACACTCGTAATAAAATGATGTTAAAATAATTTAAACTATGTTCATTGTTAATAAAATAATGTCAAAATAATGTTTATTAAGAAGCAAATACTTGCCATCGCCAAGGACTGTCAAACTCAAGGTACCACCTGTATAAGTAAAATTTTGGCCTGCTACAGAGACAATAACATCAGCTGATTTCATGAAATCAGATTCGATTTTGCATATACTTTTTTTAGATGAGTCATAAACTATTAAACCGGAACCTTGGTTATCAGATATAAATACCTGTATATATTTATGTGTGTTAAATCATTTAAATTCCAGATATAGGGGAGAGTTGCTGAATGCGTATCGTATCGGTCGCTTAACATATAATATATACCATCAATATTTTATATTTTTCCTAATATAAGCAACATTTAGTAACAAAAAATGAAATAAATGAAATAAAGTATAATATAAACAAAAATGTAATAGATTATATCTTGTTTTATACATGTTAATAACATCAAATATCAGGAACTATTGGTGTTAATTTTTGATTAATTTATCTTTTGATAACAGTATATTGAAACAATCTTATCACAATTTTATTCTGAAATTTTATCGTACTGTGATCATAATGAAATATACTATTAAAAGAAGATGTTCTCACAATCATTTCATCCAGGAACTGCTTGCATGTTTTAGGATAATAAACAATAGGCGTTGCTAAATGTCCAGCACCTGTTCGATCAGTCGCAATGTCAAGTGGGATGTAAATTATTTTAACTAGTGTATCGTTCTTTAAATTAAAGATCAACAGTTTTGGATTACAAATTTGATCGGATCCGATTTTGCCGTTATCCAGAATGACAATGTGATTGCATTGAATCTGAGGTGAAAGTAAAAATTCAATTTCTTGTATTTTCTGCATCAAGCTGATCATTGTGTAGATATGTAGTAGAGAAGTGCAAATAAAGATTTTTTAATGCTTAATCAAATCGAATCAAATTTAATTTTTTGGTTCGGATTTAAATTGAATCCGAACTGGATCGAATTATTGAAACATAACTTTTAGTTAACAACAACGTAATTATTGTTAGGTCGAATTTTAATATATAGTAAATATACAAAGTAATGAAAAAAATTTATAATGTATAAAATATATATATATATGTATAATATGTATATATAAGATTGTCAATATGTATTCGTGTTCAAACCTCTTACAATTAAATTAGAAATTTTCAAGTAGTTCGGATTTAAATCATAAGGATACGAATCCGAATAGAATCGGACTTTACTTGATTCTATTCGTATTCGGATACATCTCTAGTATGTAGGTATGCGTAAAAAACTGTTGGACATAATATATTTAAATAATAATATCTAAATAATATCTAAATGTGCATGTATGATGTAACGCCACTTGAAAAAATGACATTAATACTTACGTGCATTCGGTAAACGTTCACAATACCATTACATATACAACTACTATTATGCCAACTCCAATTTGGATAAGGACGCAAAAGTGGACCTCCTGGTCCTGTCTTATGAGTTACTGTCGCCAGAGTAGCAGGTGCACTAGGGCCTAATTCTCTTCGCGCAGTAACGAATACTCTACCATCTATAAGAATTTTGTTTGTGAACGAAATTTGCGTGCTAAAATATATATTCATTCCGCAAGTTTTTGTATAGTAGCAAGATGATATCATTTCATTAACAATATTGAAGAGAGAGAGAGAGAGAGAGAGAGAGAGAGAGAGAGAGAGAAAGAGGGAGAGAGGGAGAAAAAGGGAGGGAAGGGGGAAAGGAGAAAGGAGATAGGGGGAAGGGGAGGGAGGGAGAGAGGTTTTTAAGAATAATCTGGCATCAACCAACCTTCTGCTTTGTCTGCATCGATTAACACACACATGTAAGGGTCATAAGTGGAATTTATCGCGTCTTCCTTCTGCTGTTCACTTTCCCATTCATACTCACAATATTTCCATTTATGAACAACATTTACTTTGAGTCCAAAGCTCACAATCGCCGTCGACAGAATTAGCATGGCAAACAAAGAATGCCCCATTTTTTTTATCGTAGCGTATAGCTAACAAACAATAATGCTGTGCCATTCAAAGTACAGAATGAGACTCGTTGTTGGGATACGAATCTATCTTAAGAATTAAAATTTCGAGTTTCAAGAGAATTATTGTACATATGTTTTTTTAATTAAATATATTTTGTAATTACCATATTAGTAGAATTGTTGTTTTGTCTTGTTTGCGATTACAGTCTTCTAATATAGTTGCAGCGAAAATGTTACAGCAAAATGTTGTTTGAATTACAAAAATTAACAGATTGTCGGAAAAAAACGACATGTTCGGTGTTTTTCTGTTTTTATTGTAACAAAGTATTTCAAGATTTTAATGTTCCACTTTAGTTTTTTCGCAACAAATTGCATTTGCTTATGGCATGCAATAAGTTGTGCAAATTAGTAAATTTTTTTAAATGCGCGTGTCTTTTAATAATTAAGTTGTGACTTTTTGGGTTGCAACAATAAAATAATATAAATTGAACTGTATCGATAGACACGTATATCACAAATGCGAGTGAGGTAACGATTGTTTGCTTTTATACCTTTTTTTCACAATATACACGAATGCTTTTAAAAACCACATTATACAACTTATCATAATTGTAGACTAGTTAATATCTTTCGATTCGACTGATGAATAATGATACTTAGATGACTTATTACGTATACATAATGACATATATTATACCGGGTGTTTTAGACTACCCGTTCTACCCTTTTATCTTCACAAGATAAGGTGTCCAATCATAAAAGTGTTCAAACAAAAGTTGTAGGATTAAAAAAAATCTATTTACTCTAATCTTATCAGTTTGACCTTGGGTGGTGTCGTCAAGATAAGATTAAGGTCACATCGAATTTTTTAAATGGAACATCCTATTTTTTATTCCAGAATCTAATAGCCGATGTCGGGAGCTTTCCAAAACATTATAATAAAGTTATTTTTTATTGAGTACTTTTGGAGTTATAAGGCTTGAAAGTTATAGTACCGTCGTGCCGGCATTAGCATTACACAAGGTGTTCGATCGATGGCTGAAACCTCTTGAATGTTGCTCAGGATGTCCTGAATAACATTTATCAAGATCAAGGCCATTGGAGATTATTCCTTTTATTTCCATTTTTGCACTAAGAATTTTTATGTAAAACTAAAAATAAGAGGTACAATCTCCAATGACTTTGATTTTGATAAATGTTCCAGGACATGATCCTAAACAACATTCAGGAAGTTTTTAGCCGTCGGTTGGACACCTTACGTAATGCTAATGTCGGCAGTATTGATGTAATTTTCAAGTCTTATAACTCGAAAAGTACTCAATGAAAAATAACTTTATTATAGTGTTTTGAAAAACTCTTGACAACAGTTATTAGATACTGGAAGAAAAAGTTAGGTGTTTCAAAAAAATCGACGACACCACCTAAAGTCAAACTGATAAGATCAGTAAACAGATCTTTTTAAACCCTACAACTTTTGTCTGAACACTTTTACGATTGGACCTTATCCTACGAAGATAAAGGTACGGATGGTCTGAAACACCCGGTGTAATATGTTAGGCTATCATCGACGCCATGAAGAAAGGAAACTAACGTAATTTTTATTTTATTTGACATATTTTTGATTGCTAGTTTTTGCAAAAGTAACTAATACAATAGTTAATTTTATTAATCTTTTGGTGTAGAAAACGAATCTGTATTTGCATAATTGCTCTATTACATTTTGAAGCTATTTTAACTTAAAGATGTAAAAGAGTACCTTTTTGCTCTTTTAAGCTTAATTTTTTCAAAAATATTGTAATATGAATGAATAATTATATTAACGGACCCGTTTTTTGCGACTAAGGTAACTGTTCCTATTAATGTGCCTTTTAGCAAATTTGCTTATTACTGAATTAATTATTAAATATTGTAGCTTTAATTTTATCCGCTTGCAATCAATATCGGTTTTTCAACTACTTCTTTTTTTTATAATATTTTTTTGATCTAAAAAATGTTAATACTTTATAATGCTTTTGACAAAAATAGAAAACATGTTTTTATCCCTATTAGTGAGTCCTCTAAGCGGCGATGGCCCTATTAATGTGCCCCCAATTTGTGTGCCTATCCACATTTGACTCATTTTAACATAGTTACTAAAGCAGATAATAAATTTAAGCTAATTGTTTATGTTAATATTACGTAAATCATTATTTCAATTACATTTATTTCAAAGTACACTCATAACACAACGTTCTCAGCTCCAATACAAGGCACATTAATAGGAACAAGTTTAAAATCTTGCGGTACGTATTACTAGATTCACATAAATTTCTCGTATCTTTCGAAAAATGTTTAAAATACTTTAATACTGAAAAAATAAAATATTATCTTCAGTATCGTATGTATTAATAATTTAACTTAAAAAAAATATTTTTTCTTATTTATTTGTGCTAGGTTTCTTTATGACTTATCAAAATACAAAAGTATACTAATAGGGACAGGTACAATAATTAAGACAGTTACCCTATAATTATCTTGTCTGGTTTATGGTCTAAAAAGAGATTTCTTTTTTCAAATAATGTAATTAGGTTTGTGACTTTTTGAATCGCACAATAATAAGGTAACATAACTAAACTATACCTGTAGACGGTATTAGACAGTTAGACACATATATTGCAAATGTGAATGACGATCGTTTGTCACTGTTTTCTATATAATATATATAAAACTGCTTTTAAAGGCTTCATTATACATCATCATAAAGTATCATCGTAAGTGCAGTCTCATTAAAAGCTTTTCGAATCGGCATACATAACATACAGTACATATTAGTGACGAACAGAAATGTAAACAAGGAACGCTACTTTTGCAATAAAATGATGGTACTCAATATTTATGCCATCAGTTATTAGTAAAATATAAATTAGAAGATAACGTAACATTTTATTAATATTCTTGAGGCTTTCACGGGTGTTTCCTATATGACAATCTTGTGTTTCGCGGGTTTTCTCCGTGTTCAAATCCATTCTTGGAATGCCAACGTTTCGTGAACCTTGCAGTCCACTTCATCAGGGCGAGGAGCAGCCTGATACTAACATTTTATTCTTATTCATACTAATATATCTTTAAAGTATACCTATGTACACAAAGACTTTCCTTCATGAACGAAACATTCGAGAATGTTTGCAATGTACTTTCATTTCATTCAAACTTAAGTATTTCAGTGAATAGAAAGAGAAGTTTTTGTAGAGTTTTTTAAAAGTACATTTTAAAGAGGAAAAATATAGAGTTTTAAATCGGCATTTGAATTTCGTTTCTATGATATTTTGTTCCTAAAATATATAAAAATAAAATTTTATATTTTTTTCAATATTTTTGTTATATTTTGAAGCGTTGTTCTTGACTGAAATGTCAACGGATTAAAAACAAATAAGAATTTTAAAGTAGATTTTCTAAGCTTTAAAGTTTTTTGAAAAAAATTAGTACGAGTTTTCATAAAAATTTTGAATTTTTATTGTTTAAAATTTTATTGTGCAAAAACTTACTTTATCTAAAATGTATTTTTAACTTCGTAACTAAAAAGTTTATGGAAAAAAGACAAACAATGTTTATTGTAATATGATTATTTATTTAGTATTTAGTGTTAACAGTTGCACCCAATAAAGGTATTATTATTATTAAATCACAAACATTTTTTTCGAAATTAAAAAAAAATTTTTTTGACCCTGTCAATTTTTATAAAATATTTTGCTTACTTTTTATGGGTTCAAACTTCAAAGACAAAAGTTGCGATGACGAAATCAAAGGCATTGTGCACGGTTTTAGATTACGCCACAGGCCATTCCATCCTTCCTCGCTTTAATGTTGTATATGAATTGCCGTGGAGTGTGTGTTAGCTATTCGTTTATCGCTTTATATCTATACGTCGTACACGACTTCTTGAGCACTAACACATGGCAGGTACGGATGTAGAAGTGGACTTCCTGATCCTGTCTTATCAGTCACTGTCGCCAAAGTGGCAGGTGAACTAGGGTCAATTTCTCTTGGCGCAGTAACGAATACTCTACCATCTATAAGGATTTTGTTTGTGAATGGAACTTATCTTCTACTAAAAGATATAAGGTAAACATTCCAGTGATTGAATATGTACCTGTGTCTAGAAATTCGTATACACAAAATTTCTTATTATTAATATATTTCAAATATTTTTTATTACAATATTATAATTTATTTGTATTTAAAGATATAAAGCTTACAATTAAATTATAATATTTAAAAAAGCATTTATAGGTATATATGTATTGTATGTATATATGTATATATATATATATATACATATAATAAAAATAATCATAATTTAATTATATTTATTTTTTTAAACGTAAAAGTTAAATTTTCGTTAATAAAAATATTAATATTTCTCAACAAAATCTTTTCAACTTTTTCGAATAATTTGTTATCAACTTACTATTTACTCTTTTTGCATCGATAAATATGCTCATGTAGGATCTGTAAGCGCCAGAACTTATCGCGTTTTTCTTCTGCTGTTCACTTTCCCATTCGTACTGACAATGTTTCCATTTATGAGCATCATTTATTTCGAGTCCAAAGCTCACAATCGCCATGGATAGAATTGACAGGGCAAACAGAGAATGTTTCATTTTTTACCGTAACGAATAGCTTATAAACAATGATGTTTTGCCGTTCAGAGTACAGAACGGGATTTGCTGTCGGGATATGAGTTTGTCTTGGCGGTTAGAATTTCGAATACCCCAAGAGAAATATTGCATAGATATCTGTTTAATAAAATATTTACTGTAAAGATACTGCATTCGCAGAGTTATTGTTTTACCTTCTCTGCCATTACAGTCTTTTTAATATAGTCAAAATAAAGATATAGTAAGATATTGCTAAAATCTCACAACTGTTAACAGATTTTTAGAAAAACATTGCACTGACACATTTGATAGTTTCTGTATTTTTGTAAGTAGATTATCCTAATGTTCCACTTTGGTTCACAACAAATTGTATTTGCTTATGGAATACAATAAATTATGCAAATTACTAAATTTTTGAATATATG